AATTGCAACATACGTAAGGCAATGACAATGTTGAATTGCAAACATAAGAATTGGTTTAATAGTGACGAAAGCATTGGAGCTCATCTCTAGACAAAGCACCGCCTGCATAAAGAAGTTCAGCACATCCCAGCATCATTATCTGCCCAGACTGCATTTAAGAACATTAAATGAAATGTCTAGCATGAACTACGAGGAATGCAGAATGACTGGTTCAGCAAGTAGAAATCTAATTGTAGTCCAATCGTAAAGACCGAACAGGCTTCTACAGCGTACTCAAGAATATTTATGGACCTACCAGATCCAATGCTTGTTGCGAAATGTTCATCCCAGATAAGATCAAGGCCCTTGAGCGTTGGGTTGAACACTATGAGTGTACATAATTACCCCTCGTCGGCCAGCAGTCAACAACGAAATTAATTTCATCGATCGACGACGAAGTTGCTGACGCCGTCAACCAAATGTTCCATGAAAAAAGTTCCAGGCAACGATGCAATGGCTGCTCAAATATATTCAGCTGGAGGCCCACAGTGTAACAGCCAAATTAGACTGCCTATTCCGCATTCCGAATAGCTTGAAGAAGTATAGACCCTCTTCTTTATATCTTCTTTGGCAGATTCTTGCTGACTCACAAAGCACTTGCAAAAACATTGTCAAAGGTGCTAATCCTATTTAGAACTGTGGGGCTGATTGCTGAGAACATCAGTTCCGTCAGCAACTACGGATAATGGGGATGGTGAAACGAAAGTTTCTTATGAGGAGAAGAGGGGACGGATCTCTGAGGAGCAGATGAAAAAGTGAGCGTAGGAGAGAATGCGCTACAACGTTTAAACTGCGAGAGGCAAAATGAGGAGTGGTAGGCACCCGGGAAGTGGAAGAGATTGGAGTATCTGGATTTAGAATAATAAAAGAATTTGAGCGAGAGAGAGAGGGAGTAGAGGTAGGATGATAAAGGGTAGGGGGAAGATACACTGGGATAAAGGGAGAGGAGCAGAGCAGGCTAAAGAGAGTACTCAAAAGGAAATAGTAGAAGGACGAGGAAGGGAGGAAGAGGGAGTGATGTCGAGTTAGGCAGTACTGTCAGGAAGACAATAAGGATGAATAGTAGTATTAAGAGAGGTGGGTGTAGAAAATGAAGAAGACTGTGCAGGAGGAGGAGACTAAAGTGTGCTGGGAGAGATTAATGGTTAATGGTTATAAAGCAAAATAAATGTGCTAGACATCTGAGGTCATGTAGCATTACAGAAAGGTGTAAAAGTGAAAAGGGTAAAGAGGGAGCTAGTTAATGATTAAATATGTTGCCCGTCAGAAGTCGTATGGCAGTTCAAGAAGGGAGGGATTAAAATGGAAAGAAATGTGATTTTCTTTTCTCCGTAAAGTAAGGTAGGGATTAGCAAAGGAGAAAGGGGCTTTAAGGCAGATTAGATTACAGTTACAGAAGAAATGTTTACTATTGTATCCAGGGGGAAGCGGAAGAGAAAGTGGGGAAGGAAAGGGGATGATGCAGCTGAAACAATGTGGAGTGGGATATGTTGTGAGGGAGTCGGAGGAAGGGGAGTAGGGGGAACGTGAGTAAGAGGATCTTGGATGTCGGCAGTTACTTAGCGTGTAGAAGGAATGGGAGCAGAGAGATGATGGACGGAGTGTGTAGGCATCAGTAGTCTTGAATGTCTTCGAGTTTCTGGTGTGGATTTGGTTGGGGAAGTCTGAGAATGAAAGGTTTTCTAGTAAGGGGGAGAAAAATGGACATCCTCTTAAGGAGGGGGAGGTTGATGGAGGAGAGGATGCGGTAGAAGATGGGGTGGAGCTAGCTTGTCTTCTGTGATCAGTTGGGCGAGGAGGAAATGGGGTAGGTAACGGGAAGTAGAGATTAGGGTTTCTGGAATGACAAGAATTTGGTTGTGAGGGGGAGAGGATAAAATTGGGATAAGGAAGAGATACTGAGGGAATTGTAGAAACATCTTGGGAGGGAGGAGGTGGGGCGAAGTGAATGGCAGCACTGGAATTGGAAGAGAGAAATCTCGTCTGCATGCTCTCAGAGACTGAATCTAAGACTAGCCACTTCAGACGCAAACACTGGGTAGCCCCTATAAAATACATTATGTTTGGCAGGATGGCCTAGACACCAATAATTCTGACTTTGACGGTTGATGTGGTTGGACAGGGAAGGGCTCGCCGGCAATATAAACATGTGTAATGAAAGTAATCTACGCAATATTAGTGGAGGACTTACGGCGGCCTTTAAGGGGAATGGTGTAGCATTTTATCGATACTGCATCATAGTCTACAAGGCAGGAGAGTGTCTTCACAATCTTACCAGTCCTTGTCATAGACAGGAAAGTGTGCCGGGGAGATGAAGAAAGTCCCGGTACAAGTATTGAGGGAAGGATGAAGCTGGGTAGGAATGGGTTTGCCAGTGAAGTCAATCAGGGTGATAATGCTATAGCTTGGGATTCGGATGTAATTGTGCCAAGCGCGGGAACGCTCGGGGAGGCTACGGAAAGAAACTTTGCCTACTTATTTTGGGGATGATGCAGCTGAAACAATGTGGAGTGGGATGTGTTGTGAGGGAGTCGGAGGAAGGGATGTAGGGGGAACGTGAGTAAGAGGATCTTGGATGTCGGCAGTTACTTAGCGTGTAGAAGGAATGGGAGCAGAGAGATGATGGATGGAGTGTGTAGGCATCAGTAGTCTTGAATGTCTTCGAGTTTCTGGTGTGGATTTGGTTGGGGAAGTCTCAGAAAGAAAGGTTTTCTAGTAAGGGGGAGAAAAATGGACATCCTCTTAAGGAGGGGGAGGTTGATGGAGGAGAGGATGCGGTAGAAGATGGGGTGGAGCGTTTAGCTTGTCTTCTGTGATCAGTTGGGCGAGGAGGAAATGGGGTAGGTAACGGAAAGAAACTTTGCCTACTTATTTTGGGGGCATTGTTGGAAGAGGAGTGTTATCAGAGTATGAGACTGTAGCGGGGATAACAACATAATAAATCCTATTTGGCTGGGCTAAACATAGTACTCAAAAGATTTGTAGAGGTGGGGGTAGTATAAGGATGGAGGGTTTGTGGAAGAGGGATTGGCGTTGAGTGAAGAAGTACTGCGGAGAGATGGATAATAATAGTAGTAATAAGGGAAGAGGGGGTAGTAGATGATGGAAGTGGAGGATGTTGGAAGATGGAGTGTACTCTTATGTGATTGTGGGCCTGTAAGTTAATTGTGCCACGTGTTATATGCCTTGTGTTATACGCGGTATGTGTGTCGTGCCTGTATGAACACGTTAACCAGTCCTTGGGAGGGGGTGCGGGCGCCGGGCAACTACCGGTGTCAGTCATCTGGTCGCTCTCTCGCTGCTCGGATGTACTTCTGCAGTGTTGCCTTGTGAACAATTTATGAACTTTTTTCCCCTTTTATTTAAGTACGCCGACAGCTTTTATTTACACCACAGGGAGGCTTCCTGGAGGTTGAGTAATGTCTTGGGTAGATGATTTGGACTGGACTGAGGTGTTATTAGGCGTTGAGGAGGGTAGAGAGGGTAGTAGTAGTATTCACAGTCCTGGTCAACTGAGACCCTGGAGTCAGAGAACCGGTGGAATCAGTGGGGCCAGTTGATAAAGCGGCAAGTCCCATTCCCCCTAATAGTGGTACAAGATCTTTATTACTGGACATGGTAAACCTAGAGTATGTTGGTGAGAGAAATGATCCACCCCTCAGGGTCCCTTGAGGGATAAGGGCTAGAGAACTAAACAACCTATGGCTCCATTTGGTTGTTCATGACTGGTATAAATTCAGACTTTCAACATTGTACACTTTAAGAAGTGGATAGCAGAAGGGATTGGAGAAGAGAAGAGAAGAAAATGGAGAGAGGAAGAAGAGATCGTTCACAATTCGTTCAGTTGAGGGCCGAAGCCATATTTTTAACTTATTGAAAATTCTCTGCCACATCGACATCTAAGGCCATTCGCGGCGTATACAATATATAGCAATAGGGCGAGGCTTGGAGGAAAAGCCCCAGGTAATAAAAGGTCATACAACATTATGATGAAGTATTGCAGGAAAATGGTTAAAAGTGAGTTAACAATTATGACAAAATATGTTAGATGTCAAAGATTGTGGAGTGTTGTTAGTGAGTATGGTAGTGAAAAGGGAATAGATGAGATAGCAAATGGAGTATGAATGCCATTTAGGATTTATTTATATATTGAAGATTTTCTGCCACATCAACACCTAAGGTCATTAGAGGCGTATTTAAAATATAGCAATAGGGCGAGGCTTGGGGGGAAAGCCCCAAGGTAAGGAAAGTATTGTAGAAAAAAGGGAAAAAAATGAGTTAATAATTAGGACAAAATGTGTTAAATGTCAAAGGTTGTAGAGTATTGTGGGTAGTAAACAGAGTAAAAAGGAAATAGCAAATGCAGTATGAAAGCCATTCAGAACTGACACAAAGCCAGCCTTTAGTCCTTCCAGTACAGCTCTCACACCTTAGGAAGTGGGCAGAAAGGGATGAAGAAGAGGACAAATAAAGGGGGAGAAGAAGACCATGAAAAATTTGTTGAGGGAAGGGCTGGTGTCCAAGGTAGGGGTGATCTACACTGGACTTCAATCTGTCTCCTAAACCCCCTTCCCACTGACAAGCAAGGGATGGGAAGGGGGGGGGTGATGATTAACCTAAGAAATACTGTGCCCATTGCTCCCTGAGGCCATTCAGGACTAACACAAAGCCAGTCTTTCATCCTTTCAGAATGGCTCTCACATATTTGGAAGTGGACAGAAGGGATTGCAGAAGTGAAGGAAAAGGAAAGGGAAGAAAAGACCAAACAAAATTGGTATGGGGTGGGGGGTGGGATAATCACAAGCTGCAGCATTAGTAGGGAAGACATAAAATCAAGAGATAACTTTATAGTGTACTGTATATGTTTCAAGTCTGATAAAATGGATTTTTACTTTAACATTCTTTTGAGACAGGATTGAGCACATTCATAAGGTTTGAATACTGAAGAAAGACAAGATTTATATCAAATTATTTATGTTAAAGAATCTGACAATACATTTACTACTTACTAATCACAAAATGTGGCCTTTGATATGTAGTCAAATTTCCAATCAATTTAAAGCCATATCAGATATCACTATACATCATAAGGCCTAAGCTAAGAGGCAATTAAAAGGAAACTAACATAAAATGAAGAACTTTGATAAATAACAAACACCTTACAAATTATCAACACTTTAATCTCCGGACAACATACAGGAGACAAATACATTTCATATGACAAAGGATAGGAGTACTAGTCTTAAAACTTGTAATCCTTAGTAATAATAATCCATTTATTCCAGGTTATGCAAGTATGCAATGGCTCACTCTATACAATATTGCAACAAAAATTCCCATAATGTGAAAGTCTGAAGATCATGCTCATAAAACTTTTGCCACAGAGAAAATAATCCATAATGAATCTTTGTGCAACTTTGAACAGTTAAAATAAAAGAAGAATAGCAGGATACATTCCTTGTACTCTCTCATATTTTTATTTTACAAACTAGTATTGTACGGGTGTATAGAAAGCATGCATTAAGTTGTTTTTAGAAAAGTTTTTTTTTTTTTATATTAATGCAAAACTTGTACATCATCCTACAAGTGCTATAAAATATATAGATAAACACACACACACCATATTACTGAAACTAACATAGAGCCTTTGCTCCTCATGGGTAAAAAATCTGCTAATTTCTAATAAGGGCAACCTTTGAGCACAAAAAACAAAAAAATAAAAACAAAATCCACTTCCCATATCCTGGTATCAGGTCCCTCAAATTTAACTTTTCTATACAAGGTCTATCATTACCATCAGTAACTGGTTTTGAAAGATGTTAAGCACAATTTGAATAAGGATGCAACTGAATAAAACAAACAAGATATATATAAAGTGAGGGGAAAAATGTAAGTATATTTTCATTCATGTCCAACAGATATTATCTGGCTAAGTAAGAAATAAAATGAGCAGTTGGAGATCATAACAAACAAATGTGTATAAAACAGTTATATAACCCAATTGGGAAGAGAAAATTTGAATATTGTTGGGACAACAAAAAGTTTCCATTGTGACAATCTATTAATGCTTAGAATGGCACCACAAATGGCATCACTGATGTCAGTGGTTTATGTGTATCCATTTCATGGAAAACAAGATAACAAAAGTCAATTTTCTTTTTTTTTAATAAAAACCTGCAAATGCCTTTTGCTTTCAAACTATCTTTTTGTGATGCTGACCTATAATAAAGTTGAGTATGAACTTAAAACAAGGGAGATAAAAAATAATTAGTTGACTATGAGACTTCAAAAGATCGGAGGAAACATTAGCACCCAATCCTGGTCTAACTTATATGTGCTCCGCTGCACTAGATACAAACTAAAACAAACAGCTTCTCTATAGAACTCTTCAATATAGCACTATTCATTTCCCATTAAAAGAATAATTTAAGTAAAGATGTACACAAATAATTTTATATAGGGGCTACAGCAAAAAGGTTTTCTAAGTTCTTAAGAAATCTTTCTGCACTCAACCTGGCAAACAAGAGCAGCCAATTTTTTTTTCTTTCCTTTCTTTTATCAGTAAAAAAAAATATCCAGGTCTGTTCATGGGATTGTGGGCAGGGGGTTTCGGCAGGATGCATACACGGTCATGGTATGGATGGTATCAGGTACCAGAGATCTTTAGGACTGGGCAGGTGGGACCTCTTCTTGAATTGGTGCAGGTTCCTCCACCTTAGCTGCCTCTTCCTCTCCTACGGCAGCTTCCAGAGCTTGTCTAGCTAACTGTTCTATAGGCTTGAAAGGACTCTCCGTGGGGTTGTTCTCAAGATACTGCAAACATCGGAGAATAGTTATAATGACAATGATACACCATCAACAAAAATAAAATTAAACCAATGCTGCCAGGAAAATATAGTGTTTGTGTAGTATTTTGTGAAATATATCTACATACAGATGGGTATACAAGTGCTTAGCCACCAAGTAGTCAATTAGTAGACCTAAACTGATTTCATCATTCATTTTTTGTGTATGTGTACGTGTGCGTGTGGTGTGGTTGCTTTCAATATCAATGCTCTTATTGTAGACATAATTATTATAGTGTTATTCACATTATTAATGACAATATAAGATAAAATAAAATATTTCTGAAAATTAAGGAAAAAGGTACACAGGTGATATAGGTGGTACTTGTAATTGGCTTATTGGTGACTAATTATTTTTTAAACCAGCTATGTGTGAAGACAATCAATAAACTAAACTCACAATGGGCATGGGATACATTAAAATACCATCCCTGGCAGCATCATGTTAAGAAAATACCTTTAATTTCACAATATCTTCTATCGCATGTTCTCACCTAAGCATTCCCAAGTCTAACTGGTAATGGGCCAAGAATGAAGAAAATTACATAATCAATATATAAAAAGTGTCTTACCTGGTATCCAAAGAGAAGACCAACAAGAATGAGGGCTAAGAAGA